TCGGAAAGGATCATCGCCTGGAGGAATAAAGCCTCCAGCCGGGCGACGAACCTGTCCTTCTCTTGGAGACTCCGCGACGGGTCGTGGTCCTTTATGTCGTGGACCCTGACGAACTGAAGGACCTCGTTCGTGAAGTCGGCACTGAGTCCCGCGATCAGTGCGCGGTCCCCAGTCAGCCTCTCCAAGAGACACTGGCTCCTGACTAGGAGAAGCAACCCAAGGATGATGGGGTGTCTAGTCGCGGGGCTAAACCGTGTAGGGCGGCTATTCGATGGTGCACTGAGCCGTGGCTCCGGCGCCGTCCCTTGCTCCACTAGGCACTGCCGTCGCAGTCGGCGTGTCACTGCGCCCCGACTCAGGAGACGCCTACGATAGCGGCCTGGAATGACGCGCACCATCCCCCAGCCAGGGGAGGAATGTCCAAGCAAGTGTTGCAGCACTCTGTGACACGCGCGCATGAACAGTCCTGCGGCAAGCACACAAAGCGCAGCGCCTGAGTGCTCGCCGGCCCCAGTCTGTGCAAAGCCATGGTAAGTCCAGACTGGCAGCGGAGCAGGGTGGTGTTGGCTAAGCAATCGAGGGGGTACAGGGGGCAGCCCACTGCCCAATGCAACCTGAGAAAAATTCAAGTGACCGATGTATCCTAATGCATGCACATGAAGAGTTCGGGGAAGCCTGGCCCTTGAGGACAGTCTTCGAAAACTTCGAAAGGGTCGCAATGCTTCGCCTCCGTGTGTGGCAGGCGCATCGTGCATGTTGTACGGTTCAGAGGGGGTGCAACCAAACCTTCCCTCAACCCTCGTGTCAACATGCGGCATGCCAAGTTCTACATATAAGGATTGTCCAGACTGTCCTGGAAGCGAGCCTTCGGGTGTCCAGTCAGGCAGGGCATGCCACATGCCCCCGGAATTGGGACCGGGGCGGCCCATCCAAGCATCCGTTTCCATCGCGCCAGATCAGCGGTCAGGCTCCGGGCGGTGGGTCGTTTGAACCACGTGGCAGAGCGTCGGCATCCATTCCCTCTTCACCATCCATCGCGGCATCAGCCTCCAGGCCTTGGTCCGGCAGCGGCGACACGTCCCGCCGGCCTTGGTACCATTGTTGAAATGCCAGGCGATCGGAGTCCAGCAGGAGCGGGCAAACCAGCAAGATAAAGTCCCTGTACAAGCAGCCACCCGCCTGGGTGATGACTCGTTGTATATAGGATCGTGCAAGCGGCGTGTGGAAACGGGGTGCCAAGCTGCGTTGGAGAAGAAGTGCCATCTGTTGTTCCACGCGCTGCCTGCTCGGGTCTTCGATCCTGCCCACCTGGTCCGACAAGACCCAGCTTCTGTCGTTGTCCGGGATCGGAGTGTCATAGAGCTGGAGGACCAAGCTGGCATCTCGTCGCAGGAGCTCGGCTGCCGGCTGGAGCAGCTGGGGCACCGTGAAGGCCACCAAATCCTCGGTGTTGCGGCCCTCGCATCTGCGCTTGAAAGCATTGAGGCGGCCAACCAGCTGCCTGGTGGAGCATTCCGCAGCGGTCCACTGAGCCTCCATAGCGTATTCACATAGGTTGGCGACCAGCCTCCGCCGGAGCCAGGATCGCAGATTATGTTGGTGCCTTTCAACCCGAGCCTTGGTGGCGCGTTCCCTGGCAGCCAGAGCAGAGGTCCGCGGAATCCACGCTGGAGCTGGACTCAGAAGAAGAACCACCAGCAGAGCTGTGGCTCGAGGCAATGGACCGCACCATAGACGAGCCGCTTCCATTCGAAAACGGAAACTTCGGAAAGGGACCACTTCGGGCCGAGACACTTGCGTGTATATATATATATATATGCATACATAGAAAGGAAAACTTTCTGTGCACCTTTGACCCCTGATTTTGGGTTTCGGCTGGGTTTCAGCATGACTCTATGCTTCTACGCTCTTTCAACTGACACCCTCCCGGCATTCAAGATGTGTGGAATAATTGATTCTGGTGGAGGCTTCACAGCATGTCTACGAAAACCTAGCCGGGATCAAAGATGTAAGGCAAAACTTGTTGGGTACCCCTTGGACCGTGTATCTTTCGTCCCGGCTGGGCTTCTGCGAGTTTTGTGCTATCACAGCTGCAACGCAATACTTCCTGTCTGAAAAAAATTCGAAACAATTCGGTAGAATTCAAAACGGGAGGAAGCCCGGTCCGGTGGCCCCTGGTGGCCCTTCCTTGCTGTTTAAAGCGCGCTTGTCTCATGCTTGTAATTGCACTAGGAGAAACAAACCTGGTGCTCAAAATCTCAATTCCTAGGCTATACATAGCTATACCCATACGCAGACTGCACTATATTCGACTGATTATTACTTGAGATGTGCTATCAGACAACTCAGTTTTTATGCCAAGCATACACCGTCTGGTTTGAGTGTACAGTATACATGTTACACTAAGCTATACTGCGTTATGCTGAAACCCCGCTGGCGCATGTAGGTTTCAGGTCGACACCTAGTTTGAAAGCCCAAACGTGGGCTTTGTTGAAAGGGATGACTCCACGAAAGTGTATAGTATGCAGATATATACATGTGTATAAATATATATATATATATACTGACACATCTTTATCGCCGCCAAACTCAATACAGCCGGTAGTACCGGCCCAAACATCACAGCTGTCCAGCTCATGATGTCATCTTGTGCCGGAGATGCACTGACCCCTATCCAACAGGGCTTGCTTGCGACCATGACCGCAACGGTGATCTTCGTGATCGATTGGAACATCTGCCTTGTGGCGGGTCTGACTGCAGCTTCTTGAGATCCCGTATCAGCCTGTCGGCAAAACGTACACTCGTGGAAAGAGGGCGAGTGACTGGCAGTGCCGCACTGAGAAAGATGTCGGCATGTCTCTCTACACCATCAAAAGCTTGCCTGCGACGCGCCACCGTTGTCATGCCTGCTGCAATGACGCAAGACCAAACAGCATGAAGAACAGAACAACTGCAGCAAGTTTTCAGCTTGTGGCCTTGGCCGTGGCAGCACACAGGAGCTAGTTGAACAAGGTTGAAACAACGGGTCTTCTTGAATGCCTTGCAGTGTCATGCTGCGCCGAGGCGCGATTGTCCCATAACACTTGCCAGGCTCATTCGTCTCTGCGGTTCCCTCGTGTCGTTCAGACGGACTCACGGACATCGTGTTTGAACCAGTTCATAGCTGTCGAAGCTGTTTAACATATCATAGCGCTCTGAGCCAACATGAAAGCCAATCTCAGGACACTGTTGTGGAGACTGCATTGCAGGCTGCCCAAAGCTACAAACAACGTGAGCTCGGATGCTTGGCGTTTTAAACAGTCTGAACATTCGTCTCCACAGACCAAGTCCTGCGCTTGTCTCTTACGTCTTCGCGTCAAGCAGCAGGGTAGCCACATCGAAAAATACAACAATCTAAGTACATTCGCAAATTTGATGCAGGTGAAACACGGATACAGCAGCAGCAGCAGTTACAAAACACTTTCACAGCTCTTCCTGCCATCATGCCGTGTGCAAACTATACTGCACTACACCGGCATCCTCCCCAGTAGCATGCTGTACAGGCGAGACTGCTGAGAGTAGTCACAAACACAGATGTCAGTACCTACCAGCCCACTTCATACGAAATCCTGGCGCTACCAAAACAGCAGCTGTCTCTGCAAAATCTCAGGGCAGGTTTGGAGGAAATGGCTTCAAGCGACAGTGGAAAAATCACAGCAATGCGAGCAATTCAACACACGAGCCTTTCAACAATGCACAAACACTCGCACACCCAAGTGCGAACTGGGAGCTGATGGCACTGCTGTGTCACATGGAAAACCAGAGCTCTGCCGCTGATGGGTCTCCTCCTGTTGCCACAACATGCACACGGCTCAGGCCAAGACGACCTTCGTCGCTTGACCATGAGCTTCCTGTGCTACAGGATCAGACCTCCAAATTGTCCTATCTAGTCCTCGTCTCATCAGAGCTTTGTTGAACGTGGACTCTCTTGATCGCCTGGAGCACTGCGTCAGCAGTCTCCAGGCATGAGAGCAACTGCTTCCTTTACAGCTAAATCCGCGTGCCAACTCGAACGGCTTCCGCGAAGTGTCCTATCATCAAAGCAGCGCACCGGACTGCGAAGCCAAGTGCGGCAAGCTCGGGACACAGCCAAAATCCGATTAGAGGTCTGACGGGAGATGAGACACGAGTACACTCAGCGCAAAGCGACCGAGTTGAAATGTACCTGGCACATTACAGGAACGACATCTCCCATCTACCTTGCTGTGCCATACAATTTGGCGGAAGATCCAGCATCAAGTAATTTAGAAGGCGAAGCCATGCTCAGCAAAGCTTGCCCCAAGACGATCAGAATCGTCTCCAGCGCGGGAGAGCAGCTATAAGAGCGCTTCGTTCCTACAGAAGCGGTGTGTCTCGTGTCTGTATGTGTGTGCGTGTGGGACGTAGCTCTGCTTTTTCACGGTTGGTGGAAAGAGGCACGAAGCGTTTATGTAAGCTTCATATCATGTGAGCGCAAAACTTCTATTTGCAACTCAAAGTATCAGAACTATTTCAAGGTTGTATCAAGCAGCCAACTTGGACCAGCGATCCACAAATACACAGAAGTGTTGTTGGCCTCTGTTGCAGCTGCACGGGACAATCTTTACATGCTACGGCAGCCGATCACCCCCCGCCGTAGAGGCATAGTCCTGCAGTACATTCCGGCAAGGTGATTGCAAGAACGCTGCACTGGTGCGGATGAAACGCATCACAAAGGTAGCCCCCTGCAACTCAACTGAAATCGCTTCATGCTTGCGTGATGAGTGAAACAGACTGGGAGCGCGACCTATGCAGCCGCCAACTGCGCAACGACAACCGCCTGCGTATGCCCGTGAAGTGAATGCAAGCACTTCCCGGTGGTCGCACTCCTCAGCTGTCCAAATGCTCGGTGCCGACTCCAAGAAAGAGCCCACACTACAAAAAGACAGTTGCATAAGAACGACCCAGATGCCAAATGCCAACTGCTCCATCATAAGAGGTGGTGGCAACGATCAGCCCGTCGGGAGAAAAACTGGCACAGCGAACCCAGTCATCATGAAATCCTTCGAAGGAGAGCTGCATTTGTCCGGTTGAGGCATTGAAGACGCGGACTGTGTCAGATCCAGAGGCCATGAGAAGCCGCGAACCTTCGGGCGAGAAACAAGCTGAACTGACAACGCCACCATCGGCTTCTAGGCTCAGCGTGCAGTCTGTGTGCGATCCATCAGTGATATCGTCTGCAAGGTCCCACAACTTCAGAGTTCCATCATGAGCCGCGGTGATGGCCTGCAATCCTGTTGGAGAAAAGGCGCACAAAGTAAGGGCGCGTTGATGACCACTGAGAACCCGCATGCATCTGCCATTACCGCAATTCCAAACTCTTGCTGTTGAGTCTGCAGATGCAGTTAACAGATACTTGCTGTCAGCTGAAAATACAGCATGCCTGACGGTCCCAACGTGGCCGCTGAGGGTAAACTGAAGGCTTCCAGATGCATCCCAGAGCTGCGTGCACGCACCAGAACCTGTCGCGATGAACTTGCCACAAGCTGAGAAAACTGCGAAGGTCATCTCAGAGTCGTCGTCAGAGTCTGAGTCCAACTGGGACGAGGATGCTTTTGGAGGAAACATGCGGTGCATGATCTGGCCGGTTTGCGTACACCAGATGTTTGCATTGCCATCTGCATCAACTCCTACTACCTTCTGCCCGTCTACTGAAAAAGAAGCACTTTGAGCGCCCCCCTGCAATCGACTGAGAAATCGCAATGTCTCTGCACAATACAAGAGTCCACTGCCTCCATCCTCTGTGGACAGCATCAACAGCTGGCCACCGGGAGACATGCTTGCATTCTTCAAGGCTCCCTGCGCGTGCAGGCGAAGAGGCTGGCCGGAACCAGCTTCGGGCGAGTTGGTCGTGTCTTGATCGAAATTCCACAGGCATGCCTTCGCTAGAGACAAACAGCTCCCTTCCGACACTCTCTTCTATCATTCAGGAAAAGCTTACAAGAAGTATTGCTCTTTAAACGCTCCAGCTGCAGTACCATCATGCGATGCTGTCAGGCATCTTACCGGAGCTCTAGCCACGTAGACGGTATCGCCATCCTGCAACCCGGCCTGCATGGACAGCATCAAAGAGAGTCAAGCATCAGGGCAACAAATGCTCGCGCACTGGGCCCTGCAGACACAACAAAAGCACCTCGCTGATTGTCTTGTGCTGGGGTAAGACCTGCAACACGACAGCTCAATCAAGCAATGAGATCTCGATTGATGGGCAGCAAGGAATTTGACGAAACAACATTTGTCTGTGTGAAAGCCTGTTGAAGCTAGGGCCATGCACACACAAGCACACACACACACAACACACTAAGACTTGCTTGCCTCGGACTGGAAAATGATAGAGTGAGCCACGACGACCTTGTGACTCGTTTCCTTCACAACTGCTTCGCAGAGCTGCACCACGAAATCTGTAGATCTTAGCCGCACTTGTGCGATGGACTCGCCACTGACGGCGCTGCAAATGGTGATCCTGACCTTCTTCTGTGTCTCAACTTCGAACTCTTCCAACTTTGCACGCAACCCATCAAGGATCTCCTCCTTACGTTCCTGTTCTTCCTCGCTGTCGCTTGTTGATGATGATACTTGCCTTTCGGCCTTCTCCAAGGCATCACGCAAGTGCTGCAACCCATCACTTTCGTCATGCTCAACTCCCTCGTTGAACATGCTGAACGGCCATCGGAACAAAGAAGATGCCATGGCGGCAGGCTGGTCGGACCCTCCCCAAACAGCTACTGAAGACTCTGCAATCTAGTGCCGAGACCCTGCAAATGTAGAACGTTACACATACATGTGCAAAACCCACACATCAAAGAAATGAAAAGTATTTTGTTTTTGTGACCCGGTTGCCGGGAAGCTCCGGGACACATTAATTCGCATAGCGTTCCGAACCACACGGGAACGGGGATCCTGGACGAGAAGGGCTTCTCAACAAAATGATCGACGCCTTTCTTTTCCAACTGTGCCGTCCCGCCGGGAATGGCGGCACCCCGCTGTGCCCCACTTCGCAATCGATGTTTCTCTGAAACAAAAAGGCGATACATGCAGCCATACAAAAGACATACTTCGTTTGTGTACCTTGCCATGGCTGCTACAGGCGAACAACTCATTATCCACCTCCATCTCAACAACGGCTGGGCAATTCGACATGCGCCAGCGGCTCAAGCTGCGATCACATTATGAGGAGCTGGCCCAACCCTGCATTACCGAGCAGCGGTCAAGCACAGCAAAAACGCGGCAAAGCAACGAGTCACGAAAACTGGCACCACAATGCTGACCGCCTGCGGGGCAGCGCCACCTTCATGGATCAAGATCAAAAACACCACATCAACATTCAACAAACATGCCAGCTTCATGTGAAGGCAGCGAAGCTATGTTCGGAGAACAACGAGGGGACAACACCTGTGGGAAGTCGGCCCACGCTTACCTGTCTAGTAACTGTCCATGTTTGATCTAATTGATATTGCAGATTATTTGTTGTTGTATAATTTCTATATTATGCACGTTTTGATCATTGCTTAACAGCTGCAACACACAGTCACTACTGACTAACCTGTCCATGTTCTGATTTGCCTGCTTTGGCTAAGCACTATTCTTTAAGTCAGTCACAAAAGCAGGCATGCAAACGTGTATCGAATCTACGAATCACACACAAATGCATACAGTCCGACTTGCAATAACGCTCAACAATGCACACAGTAGATGGACGGGGAATCCAATCAGATGTCTGGCAATAAAGAAATATGCAGACACTCCACAATGCACAAAGTCAAGGGGTGATGATTTCATGAAGACAGCATGATGTACCTGCGGACATGCCACTCGAAGGCCCACGTGCACGGGCATCACATTACACACCCGAGACTAAGTCCTCTCGCACACCCTGTGGCACATGACCTCCACAAGGGAGGGTTGAGTGGGCAAAACACACTTGATTCCGCCAGAGTCACAAGATAACGAGAAAAGCAAGTGTCGCCACGAACATTGTCCACAAGCTCTGGGGACGCATTATCTCCGTACACATTCTCTAAGCCTTCCACACCTGTACTCCATATTTAGCAACCCTGGTGGTAGATACTGCGTCTAATTCCAACACCACAAGATCTGTAACGATGACATGTTGGAAAAAGTCAAGAGTTTCCACCCAAAGAGTTCGATGCTTATGCCCGCTTAAAGCAAGCCTGCAGCTGTGGCAGGAAGAAGAGATTGCACAGCTGTTGAGCAACTGCTTGATCCAGACCGGAAGATTGATCGAAACAGTTCTGGGACAGGATTCTTGCTGTTACCGCGTCGCATTTGAGCTGTGGCGTGTCGGATTTCACAAAGCAGTTTCAAGTTTTTTGGAAGTTTTTCTTCTTGTTTTTGTCTTTTTTTTGTTGCTTGCGGAAAAACTTAGAAAGACAAAACGTATTTTACGACAAGCATGGCAACATGTGATGGACATTCCAGACGGTTTCCTGCAGAGCCGCTGAGACCATTTTGATAACTTGGTTAAACATTGGATGGATGCGATTGGCTTAACCTATAAGTTGCCAATTCAGTGCACAGTATTGTCGACAGAGGTACCCGACGTCAATCTGCCACACTGCGTCAATTGCTCTCTTCCGGCATGCTCAATCGAGGCATCACGAGCAACGACAGCCGCGGGATTCTTCGACGATTCTTTCAAAGGAAACGTGCAATGACGATGCAATCCTTTTTAAAGGCATGAAGAACTTGACAATAACTGTTTCTCGGCATGATCGGGCGATACAATGTTTGTCCTGAGCTTCTTCACGTGCAACGAAGACAGATGTTGCCCAGAAGAGAAGCGTGACAACTGGCCGAGAAGCACGACTGCCACTTAAAGCAAGATGATTGGCAGAAGAACATGATGCCATTTGCTTGGTAGTACTAGTTCTAGTACTTATAGTGCAGCAGCCTTTCAGCCTTTCAGCACAGCAGTCGAGAGTCGACCGTCTGAGCAGGCGGCGCATGTGCGCGCAGTTTTACTGCCTCAGCACGCTCCATCAAATTAAGAAGCCTCGTATTGACGATGATCCAAAGTAACCGTGTATCTCTCGAGCTGAATGGCGAACACCAAGAGCGGGGTGGCACAGACATCGAAAAGCTGCTTGCATTCCAGACTAGTAGTCAATCAACGACTGAATCTGGATGCTGGGTGACAACCGGCCGAGTTGGAGCAACGTTAGCAGCAGAGGCGAAGTGCTGGACTCCGTGTCATTGACCGAAGTTCACCACCCCATTCAGAAATCGCCGAGCCTGCCATTGCCCCTGAACACACTGCTGATGTCGTTGACAAAGAAAGCAAAGAACTCTGACACGTCATGTTGCCTGCGATGCGGCCACCCCAAAAATCAGCATACGCCAAACATCCTTTGCCAAGTGCTCAACGTGAGTGTGCTGAAGAATCTTCGACTTGTCTCTTTGTGCTCCACAAGCAGTGGTCGAAGATCAAGTCGCCATTGTAAGCCTGCACATGGTGTTCATTGGGACTCTCGTCTCCAGTTTGAGTCCAAAGCCCTCGAATTTCTGGACTCGGTTTGAAGCTCTCCTTCTTGTATGCCATCCCGTCCAACTGGAGGAGAGTGCAGCCTTAGTGTCTGAATGGAGGTTCAAGCCTTGTAGCTTGGCTGGAGTCCTTGTTGTGAAGTCCATCAAGAAGGTGGCCGTGGACTCTATGGTGCGCAGGGTCCCCCCATCCCAGGTCCTGCACCTTCTTTGCCAAAGTTTCGTCCGTTCTCTAGTATGTTCATGTAGCTCTAGTCAACTGCCAACACATGCAGCGCTTTCTCCTTTTTTCCACAGGTGCTGCTCAGAGTTCGGAATCCGGTCGCAAGCGGGCGGCTTAGGCCCCCGTCTTAGTGAACAGGTGTGTAGGCGTAAAACGGAAGCAAGGCGTGCGTCTGAGGTTAACGTTAGCTCAGGCGTTCGATATAGCTCTTCCTCTGGATCTTACCATGCTGGACTTGTGCACCAGCTGCTCAATTAGCTCTTCCAGAGGTTTGTTGCTCTTGGATAGTTGATGAAAAGGGTGCCCAAGTTTCCTGCTTGCCCAATGAACTCAATGGGATCCCATGGTATTCCCACTCGTAAAACCCATGAACCATTTAGTTGTTGTTTCCTACTGAGCCTGTGAGTCCGCGACAGAAGCTGCGAGTCTGCGGGAAGGGTTTTGAGACTGGGCAGAACCGGCCACGTCTGTTTGAAACGCTTGGCGCCCGCAAAAGGATCCGCTCCAGCGGAGCGGGGCAGAAGAACGTACACTACCAGTTTCCATTCTGGCACAACTTCCAACAATGCGTCTCTCAACCGTTGCATCGCCGCCACCGAGCGGCTTTGTTTCTCCTGGCTGGGTTTAGGCACGGTAACGCGGAGCAGTTAGATCTGCAACGAATATCTGAGCTAGAGTGTTGGCAAAGCGGCCGGGTAACCTGCAGTTGAAGTGCCAAGTGCAGCTGTCCGAGGCGCAGGCAGGCACGTCCCGACGCAGAACGTGAGTCGCAGCTTTTTGGGTTTCAGAGGACATTTGCCAACCGCGTGGTCGCCACTCATCGCTGGTTTTCTTCATTCAGAAATGATGACTCAGAAAGAAGCCTTCAGTTGAGAGGCAGGTTACAGTTTGCCCCAGCTGTGTTCTTCGAAAGGTTGGGTAGACGCTGTCTGAAACCAGACACGCGCTCTGGAAGATAAGCTGTCAACTTCTATCAACAAAGAGCGTCTAAAAGTGCACGAGACTTGACATACCAACCTTAGTTGGACCGCATTCAGGAAGTTGCCAAAGAACCTTTATGATCCTCATCTTTGAGAAAGAAACACGGATGGACTAAGTGGCGTGTTGTTGACGGGAAGTGGGTCGGCATTGTCGTACTTCAGTGTACCGATATCCAAACTGACGCGCTGTCAGTCCATGAGGAGCAAACTACCATCTACAAACTTGAAATGTTTGGAATACTCGTAGAGTTGCTGGTTGAGAAAACAGCCAGCTTCGCAGAAGTACTCAGGCGGAAGCAACTGCAGGAATTGGAGGGACATGTTATTTGACAATGATGCTGCACGAGACGCCTACATTGCAGGGTCTGCAAAGAAAGGAATTGCAGTGGATCCTTGTTGATGAGATCAATTTCCTAGAGTGCGTCCACGGCATTTTGCCGTGGTCGTCAAGAGTAGGCATCACCAGCAAATCTTGCAGACGAGCCATCGAGAATGAAACTTGATCTGGTCCGGAAACTGAGTTTTAAAGGACGAGTCGGTTGAAGCGAAGCCACGAAGAAAGCTTCAATCTTTGTTGCTTGACACTACGACTCAGTTCGAGTGCGGAACAAAAGAGTTTTGTGTCTTACAAGACTTCTAAGATCAGATCTGCCGCCGTTCGGTACTGATTACCCCACTGTGT